CACACACGATGATACTTCGACAGTATCCGAAAATAAACTTAAAACGACGCGTCCTGGAAGAAGGGTGAGATTTCCAGAACATTTAAACGACTACTGCACGTAAGGCACTACTCGACATTTTATATTATCTCGATCTTTCTTTTTAACGATATACAATTTTTTTAAAAAAGACAATTTTATAATACCTATATATTTATAGTTTTATTTAAAAAAATAACATAAAAATCATTTTTTTAACGCTATTACGTGTGCTTGAGTATATTTTTCATTTTTTCGCCGACATTGTGTTTTTACGCATATACGAGTGTAGCGGTAAATAAATCCCCAAAATAAATAGCCCTGTAAGTTTTCGACATTGGATGCTGACCATATGTTTTAGTGGACTCATCTAGCTGAAGGCGCTCGGTCAGGCATCCGCACCAGATCACGTGTGGTAACGCCGTGCTCAACATCAACCGCAATCGCTAGCCAGATTAGATCAGAGAATTCCGATATATTGGTCATCGCCAAATTTACTCTTTCGATCTCCTCGACTCTGTCTTTTGATTTCTCTGGGTGGGAACAAAATACATTAGAAGGTATTACTGGTAGAAGCGTTGTCAAACAGTGAATACCTGTGACATCATCAAGAGAATTCCGATATATTGGTTATCGCCAAATATACTCTTCCGATCTCCTCGACTCTGACTTTTGATTTCTCTCGGTGGGTACAAATCATATTAGAAGGTATTACTGGTTGAAGCGTTGTCAAACACTGAATACTTGTGTCATCTTGAAGTTCAAGCAGTTTAAAACAATATAATGGAGATCCCCTACCCAATTTCAAGAATGATTATGTGATGTAATTATATCCATCGTTATAGAAAATTTTCTAGGCAGTCACACGTCGTCGATGTTCGTGGAAATTTATTTGTGGGGATGGCTGCTGGTGAACTCTAGCAAGCTCCGAAAGAGCCGAAGACATCCCATCCAGTTGTGCTATGTAAGAGCATTCCAGAAATGTCATGTAACTTCCAGATTGGGCAAATGTTAAAGTTATTTCATGCACAGTTGATCTTTGTAGTCATAAAAATTTCATAAATAACGTGCACTAAGATAGAGTCGATGTTGATTGTAAATAATGATTCAAGTATATTATTACTTTTAGTAGGTTTTCGAAATTGATAAACCCATCCACCAAGTTCTTTTTCTTCAAATATCCTTGTAACGGGAAGAGAACATTGAAAATACCTCTACAGCACTTTTGTCGGACAGTAATGTCATTTATTTGTTTCTTCTCTTTGTCGTGTATTTTAACCTTTGTTCAGATCTCGTTTAACCGCACCTTTTGTTCTTCAGTCTTCCGCGTCTGAGCTTTTGTTATGTGATTTTGATTAAGGAATTATCTTTTGTTACCTAAATTTCTATTGCATGTTGCCGGACTGTTGAGGTCACGGCGAAGTTTGGTGTGTAGCTGTTAACCATTTGACTGTCTGCTTGGGAGGATTGCTAGAATTTTTGTAGATAGATATTTGTTCCAATCTTGTTGGGAATATTTTTATTGGTGCTCAGGTATCGAACGTATTAGTATTAACCGTTTCTTTTATTGTTTAGCGTGCAATTTTGCGTTGGAGCACAGACTGTACCGTTTGACTTGTTTTGCATTTTGTATTTTGTTCTATTTCCGAATAAGAACCATATAAATTGAGCACAGAGTTTGTCCTTTGATATAATTAAATACGAGTATCTCAAAAACGCTTCGTACGCTATACAGAAGAACGTATTCTGGCCTATTCGAATAAATTTGGTTCGTTAGTTCTGCATTCAAACCGAATATTGGGAGTTCGGTCGTTACAAACTTTGTCATCATTTGTTATATACTTACCACTGCTGACAGGTAAACCGGCGGGAGATCAAAAATATCTCCTGACTATTATCGACTAATATCTGGTAGAGGTTTGCTGGACATCCTGGAAGCCAGATCAAGAAGGCTATCAAGAAAATGTATGATAACAAGTGGACGTTTATGGGTCGAATTACGTTTTGTACTTGATGTATGTGCATCATGTCCCATACCTTTATTTCCAAGGCTTGTGTTTGTTTAACTACTTCAGCATTTGTACCAGTGCTAAAATTTTGCCAAGTTTTATCGAGTTCGAGAAATTAAAAGTCAGCAATACCCAACAACCTGCTGTTAATAACGTAACAACATTTCAAAATGACGCATTAAGCCAGGAGAGTTACCATTATAAAGGACGTAAATATAAATAAAAATAATTTTACCTGAATCGCAATTTTACCTGTTGGTACAGAGACTTGACAAAACACAACAGAAATAAATATTCTTATTAAAAAATGATCGACATCCTACAATACGAAGAAAAGGTGGTTTACTCAATTAACTGCAATTATTAAGAATCAAATAGAAAACGATGATTAAATAAAAAATACAATTAACTATCAGTGAATAAAAGTGAACGTCACTGAAACAACCTGATGCGATGTTTTAAAATCAGCCTCACGCATAAGAAACAGTCAGCTGACAAAGTATTATCCACAGTATTTCAGTTCAGTGTGGTTAGAGCCATAAAAACAATTTTAAACAAAACAAAGATAAAAGGACTCTTGAAAGACTCAACAACATCAAGGAAATATTTCTCATATGAGGTTAATGAAAAACATTGTAATAATGACCGTTGTCCGTTGTAGTGCCAATATGCAAAATGCAGGTAACAGTATGAGAAACAGTGCAAAGTACAAGAATTCGACAGGCTTATCATAATATAAAATACGGAAATATTTTTTTCCTTATTTGCACATGAGCGTATAGAATGGATATCACAGTAAGATCATAGTATCTAAGTAATTGCACCGAATATATTAGGCCCGTCGATTTAACGAAATAGGTAATATTTAGTGGTCATTGACCCAAGATACAACACCCCTCTTCAAATGTGTGATTGTAGAAGGTCAAATAAGTTAGAGTGATAACGAATCTGCATGTCGGACAGGCTGAATTTTTCTCAGTGATGCACCTGAACTTCTACACACATAACATGATTGTAATGGTGAGAATGTTTGGTGAATAGAAATGTTTCAGTCCAAATCTTTATCTATTCGATGTGCTCTAACACATTCCAAGACACTGACTTGAGCCGCTATACATATTTCCACTTGTTACTAAGATATTTAATAACTACCTGACTGCTCTGTGCCGCTTGTTTCGTTTGAATAAAACGATGGACGATGAGTTTTCCTAACAAACGTCATCCATGATTCTAATTATTCCACACTGTTTGAAAATTAACGGCTAGATGGTTTTGAAATTTCATCACCTAATTATTGATTCAATGGCATTTATAAAGATCCATGGTACACAAATATCAAAACTCGGCCAAACATTGATAGAAGTGTCCTCACGGATCTCATTTTATCACGCATAATAATTCATTAGCGTACAGATCATTTTGCTTACCGAAATAAATAGAAAGTACGTGTCATCCAGTCTGCTTGACTGACTTGAATTGCTTAGTTCTGACTTAAATACATTCCTTGTTTGCTAAGTACGCCTTTTGTCTTCCGTAAATAATTGTTTTTCGGGATTCATGGCGTTTTGGAAACGTGTTTTGTAGTTATGGTTATTTATTTTCAAGTAAACCAAACTGAATCATCCGTTAAAGTAGAACCTCGAAATTCATTTGCTAACAACCAGATTATTATGCAGAAAGTAAATAGTTTCACGGTTATCGATGTTTTCCTAACTGATATTGTTGTACTGAGGTTCGTTTCGGACCCAGAAACGTAAATTGTACAGCTTATCTCTGTCTGTCCTTTCCTAATATACGTTTTTCACAGTTTACAACCGCACTTGTCTACATTACCATTACGTTTTTGCCGCATCAATCAATGTAGGTTAACAACTCAAGTCCTTGATTGCACATCCTACTATTCGAGAACCGAAGTGTTTTCTTTAGGCACAGTACTTTATAAAATCTAAACGATTTCTCTTCATAACGACTCTGTTATATCTTCAGTAACTATCTCAAAATGTCTCTTTTGATATTAAGAAGTTCGTGACTAAGTGGGTCAGGGTGATGAACTCGTGAACTTGTCTTCTATTGCATGGCAGCTTCATCCTTAAGTATTTTACCCCACGTTCTAAAATCAGGCGCGTTAGTAAACAGGGGACCTGAATAGAAAGTATTGACTACCTCGGGAAATGCAGTCAGAGCAGTAAAGGGTTCAGAGATATATTCGAGAGAACATCAATCTATCGATAAGTGACTAATCTAAGATGACTGACGATTGTAAGATTTGTGAGGTATGACGTACACAATCGTGATCTGTTGCGGGTTCGTGATCGAGCGACTTCAGTTAGGGGCATCCAGTCAAACTAATGCAGTCAGCAGCAAACTTCGAAGACTCAAGGAGCTATTGATTTTGAGGATTTATTTTTCCGCTAAAACCATAACAACAATCAGACCTGATATCCTAATGAAAACTGACTAATGTAGGAAATTTCTACTATCCAGCTCTGTGGTAAAGAAAGGGATCGTCTGTATTGTAATTGATGTCACTTACAAAGCAATGAAAATCCAACCACTGCCTCATGTCAAAGTACCTCTGTTCCGCTTACTTGGAAATATTTTGTCTATTATACTCATTAAATTCATATCATAATTCATGTGTTGTTGAGCGGGGAATGAACTAATGGTTCTGAGAAGTTAATTGACCTCATACGAACTCACTATCAAAATCCTGAACTAGAACATCAGATCCAGTGAATTTATCACAGCTTTGTTATAGGACTTTCCGAAACTTTCTAACATGATGCACTCGTCACGAAGATAGTACTTATCAGACATTAGGATACAATGTACCACTTCTCTATGACATATGTCCGCTTTAAATTTATCTGTACGTTCCCTCATATTACTCGTATGCTCATCAGGAATCAGTCCTCATTTATTTTGCTGCTAACCCATTTGTGTGTTTAAATCTTTCACGAGGTATATAAAGTAAACACAAGGCTATGAAATCGTAGCAACTAAATTTAACCAGAACTCATATAATAGTGTTGTACATAGGCAATAACTTAATTATGAATCATTTGGATATTCCATGTGAAGAAAACTTTTTTTCTAAATTTGGACAGTATGAATTCGAGAGAGCAAAGAAGCGTGAAGAACTTATGCAAGACTACTTGGAATTCAAGCAAAGAGAGGAAAAAAGCTTCCATAATAGATTCTCCGATAAAAAGAAAAATTATCATCAATCACTTGAGCCCTCGGGACCTTTGAAGGTGCTTGAAAGTTTTCCAAATATAAATGAATCGTTTGGTGTACAATATGAGCTACCAAAGAGTGATTTTGGATGCAGGTTGACGGAACTAGAAAAGAAAATCAACACCCTGTTTAACGACCAAAGGCCTGTAGTGCACTCTAACAGACCTGAGTATGTTTAAATTTTCCTCAAGTAATCGAAAATTTAATAATATCACCAGTTTAAATGATAAATCCTTAGTACCATATGATAGTGGTGTTCCCATTATCAAAGAATTAAAGAACAACTCAGGACCTAACAGTCCGGATGCAGCAGACAAGTAGGTTTAACTTTAATATAAACTCTGTATTAGTAGATACGAAGATTTAAAAAAACGCCTACACCAAATAACTGAGGCAGACAAACATCTTAGTCTTATAGAGGAAGAATACAATAAGCTAAAGAATATTCAAAGTCCGTATACGTTAGACCATAAAAATCCAACGAACCAGGGTCTTCGTACCTTATCGTTCAGCTCGTGGAAGTCTGAAAAGAATGAAGTAAAATACTCCAAACAAAATTTAAAGGATAATTACAGAAAAGAGTTAGAGTTACAAATTGCTGAGACAGAAAGAAAGCGTTCATATGAAAAGGCGGATAGCATAAAAAACAGTGCTATGTGCCCAATACCCACTTATGCATATAGAAATTCAGAAATGGAGTCAAATAAAATAAACTCAAATGAGACACATTTAAATTCGACAGAATGTTTATACTTTGATGTAGGACAAAGAGATTTGCTCGCAATAAATGCATCAACTCAACCTTCACCCTCTGGAATGTTGAACGCTAGTGTTGGTAGTGGTAAGAATGTGAATACAGTGCGAAACCCAACGGACCCAAAATTGAAAAAAATGCAGTATGCTGAGGAGTTAAAAAGACAAATTGAGGAGGCAAGGGCGAAAAAAGCTAAGCAGAAAGAGGATGACGAAGAATATAATAGAAAGATCGAAGAGCAGATCTGCAACCTTGAATTATCAAGAGAAATCCATCCTCCTCAACAAAACATGTCGAATTCTGTGAACCCCGAACAATTTCCTGACCAACAGGCGCATACCGGTCTAGATGTATCGAAAGAAATCCACTTTGAAGCTTCAGATAGAGCTTCAACAAATTTCGAGCCTAATTTCGCCAGAGGTGGACATGGAATATTTGGCAGCCCATTAACGGAGATACAGAAGCACAATCTCCAAAAGTACAAAAAAGAACTGAGTCAGCAGATAGCGGAGAAACGTCAGTTTATGGAGCTTAAGAAACAAAAAGAAATTGAGCTTGAGCAACGCGAGATGGAAAGGATTAGAGCGGAACGGTTGAAAATGCAGAAAGAGTTCGAAGCGGAACAAGAACGGAAGCAAAATAAAGTTGAGCGAGATATTCAACAATTGAGCGACAAAAGTGATGAGTATAAATTAAAACGTAAAGAAGAGCATACTGGAAATAAAACAAGGTTAGTTGAGATGAGGAACACTAGGTACAAACAACCATCAAAGAATATAAAGTCACCAACATGTAGTCCTAAAATCTTAATAGGACCAGAAGCCAGCAAACTAAACCACTTGAAGCAGTTTGGTAGTGAGACATCTGATAAAAACAGCAGTGAAAAGACGCAGTCAATACTGAAACAGCTAACCGCATTAAAAGCTCAACTAGACAGGGAAAAATCCAAAACTGAGTCGATGTATTACCAACAGAAACGTACTCGTGGTAATAACAAAGAACGTATGGAGGTTGGCACATGTAAACAACGATCTCGACCCCGAATAAACATAAAAGCTGTAGAACTATTCCAAGATGCTTCAATTTTTAATGAAAACAACACTCATGTTTCATCAGGGCAAATGCCTAGTCATGTTCAAGACGTTGAGCCCGAGAATTTGTTGGAAGAGTCTTACATAGAAGACTTAAGAGATGTAGACCGGAAACAGGTAACTCTCTTGAGAAAGCAAAACAATCATCTCCAAGAGTTGAGAACGGAACTGTTGCAAAACATTAAGGATAAAAGCAGAGGTCATTCAGTAAGGGAGAAAAATGTTCAAAACTGCAACCCATCCGCAATGCAAAATCCAATATTAGATGATAATGATTTGCTAATTAAATCTCAAAATGAGTCAGATGAGATGCTACACTCAACTTCTTTGTCTAACGGGTCTATTGATCTAAATCAAATCGCCGAAAAAAATAAGCAGCGTTTGTTGAGACTAGATGCGATCCAGCTATTAACTGAAGTAAGTGACGATCCTGAATCAGTTTTACAGCGTTTCGTTGGTGAACATGACAGGATGTTTTCAAGTGAACACAAAAACAACATTTTTAACTAGTTCAACTCGACGTCCCGTGTTTCAGTCCTACTGACATAATCTATGGAGTATATGTAAGCCATATATTTGTAATATATTTCTGAGGAAAATGTATCTAAGTACATTTCATTAATAATTCATGTACTGAGATTATTCCACGAATTTTATAAAAGATATTATTGTTTAGAACCTATGGGTTTATTTTACCTCATAATCGGTTCTACGATTCAAGGAAATATTCATCATTAGGACTGTAAAAATATGGTCATACGAGAATAAACGTCTGAAAACCATTCTTAACTTATTCATCTCAATGAAGTCATCAGGTATTGGAGTAAAGAATAATTAATCTGTAGTTTAATGCGTAGTTTATATTGATAAGGGCACTTTGAGAAACTTGCAAAATGTGTATTAATTGGACAACAAAAGTTGCTTATAGCGTTTACAGGTTAACTCAACTCAAGTAAAAACGTTGCGGTTCATATAAGTGAAAAACTGAATTATTTAGTAGTTTCATAAGATACAGACTCAAGTAATGTTATGTCCAGACACTGAACGATGAGAATGAAATTAAGAGGAAGTTACTAAGGTAAAGCTCTAAATTATTATTCCAATATGAAAAGAGAATTACTGTAATGTCCAATACGTACATACGCCAGCAAATTACAGAGTTCTCTTTACCTACAATAAAAGAGAAGTTCATGTTTTACGTGTGACAGTGTGGAAAGTTATAAGAGCACTAAACCAAATATTAGTAACCCAACTTTCGGTAAGACAACTTAGAAGTATACTATAATTAATTTTACAAAATAAGTTTCACAGAAGTATAATGATACAAAACGGGAAACTGTGTGGTAATTTACTTCCACACCAGCAAGCATTGCAAATCAACGTAAGCCGTGGCCGGTTACGCCCCATAAGTGACCAAACCACCTCATTCGAAGAGCGATTACCTTGCAAACCGACTTGTCATCTTTAACTAATACTCTGAGTCCAGCATCAGCGACGCTTACTCGGTGGTCTCGGCAAACCAGGATAATACTCTGGATGGAAAATATTAGCAACGTATCTACTCCAATAGCCACGTTTCGCCGCCATCACGTCAAGCGGAACCTAACGTTGTTCGCTGTACTTGCCCCTTGATTAGCAGGCAAATATCTCTCCTGTCTGACAGGTTACAAAATTCGGTAAGAGCCAACCGAGCTTTCTGAATCCGTATCAATATTTCACCACAGACCAACCGTCTAGGACTTATGAAACTTCTGAAACAAGAGGACTACTTGACGCCCCCAATTCATTCAACACCTGTGATCAATCTAGACGATGATGTAGATCAGTCCTGATGAAAGTGCATCTCAAACAAGCTTGAATTTTTATCAAATGTGATCAGAAGACTGTATTTTACCAGCGTTCTCATAGAAGTATCTTATCTGCATGTTTTGAGTCAATAAGTGAGTCTCTCGGTAGGAAAACAACCCATAGGAAGTGAGAAGACGAGTGTATTATCTCTCAAAGAATGTCTAAACCAAAGTTAAATAAGAATAGGGAAAGTATGCAAACCTGATATGTGAAGTTGTAGGTTCCATAGCCTAGTTGTAGTAATTAATATAAAGAGACAAGTTGAATATTAAAATACGCATTATCGCTAACTGTACACTCGTAATTTTAATCGAAACTAAACTTCAACAGAAATACCGTTTGAAAACTAGAAATTTAGTCTGTCTTAGGCTACATGTATGACTAATCATTCGTAATTATAAAACGGAAGTTGCATAATGATTCGAGATCAAATTAGTTTTCATCGGCAACAACTGACAAACACACTGGAGGGTTTTACGATTTTTTATCATCCAGTATATATGTAGTTTCCAACGCTTCGAAGCTACCAAACACACATCCCATTCATGGCTGAAAATAACACTTATTGAGTTTACAGGTTGATTTAGTGAATACAGCAAACAAAATTTCAACCGCATCTATCGCAATGACATACGGTCATTTTATTTCTCCTGCTCAGCATTGATTGATTCACCATTTCAATGCAAAACTCGATGCCCGATTCCAATATTTGCTAGCTACTTCTCTCATCACAAATTATCAATAGGTTGATTCTAACTTCAGATCAACACGGTGCTCAAAAATACACAATAACTTGGAGAGTGCTGTTAATATCCTTATCTAGGAATTACTACAAGAGATTATGGCACTTGCAATTTGAAAGATGGAATTACGTTTCGGTATTTCATATAAGAATTAAGAAGTTGTACTTGAGTACATTTTTATGTTTGTCAGAGCTGAGGAAATAGTATCTTCCATATCTTCTTCGGATTAATTACTTCCCGAATTTGAGTACATCTTGAATAAAATTCACCAAAATGCCCACGAAATACTAGACAACAGTTTATTCATCAAATAAAATGAATTAGTATATGTCTGACTAGAATTTAGCACCCAACTTCCATAAGTCAGAGCTAAGATATGCATAAAAGGTATGATTTTCAAGGTTGAAGTAAATGTAGTAAGGTTTGAATGCTTATACAGTTATAAGCCTTCATATAACCAGTATACTTTACAGTGGGCCTATCGTTATTTTTATGTTAGATAAAAAATATTTTTTTAGCCAACCGGAGCTTTTTCTTTTGAAAATTCACAGAAATGATTTGTTTGAGATACTCATTATTTTGAATGCAGGAGACTGAATTATAGCTGACAGGAACCATTTAACCACCCAAATTACGTAGACGTATTAAACTCGGGATCATAAAGAGTAGATGATGTATGGTATTCTTAAAGGTGAGGTTAAGAGCAACTACAGGAAAAACAAATAGAGTTTAGTTGTCAATAAAAAAAACCCAATAGTCACTCATACATAAGTAAGGAATGGCATTTAGATCAAACGTAGAGGAGGGTAAAGAATGAAGACATATGGCACACATCAATTTCAAGATTTATCAATCAGTCTTTCACTATAGAGTAAGGTCATCTTTTACACAAAAAAATGAAGTGTTCACCTCACAACACGACTTAGACTAATGACCAATGAGTTTCAAAACTGGTAGCATTTCACTGACCGCCTTCGCAGTTTCTTAAACTTGGCTGCTGAGTTTACAACCACAACTGATGTACTACTTTTACTTAATAATCCATACCCCTTCGGTCGTTAGGTTATGTCAGACAAATGCTTGTAATGGAAATATGATCGAATAATTTGAGTGCATATATATCTCGAACATACAAAATCTACATTTTAGTCATGAGAAGCACAATCTGTACTGCCGTGAGACAAATACCTTCGAAAAACAGACAAAAAACTTCAAACACAAATAGCAGTAATTGAGAGGTTCGTGTTTCTGGGTGGCTGCGTAAGTGTTGATCATGTGAGTGATGAGATGAATGCACGTATAGTGAAAGCCAAAGCGGCTTATGCCAAGCTGAGCTATCCTTGACACCTTCCTGATATCAGTCTGGCTGAAAAAGATCGGATCTACGACGAGTCGGTGAAAGCAGTTTTGTTCTATGTTTGCGAAAACTCGTATCTCCGAGTTGAGAATGTTAAACGACTCTCTGTGTTTCGCCATTGTTGTTTCAGAAGGGTTGTTGGCATCCAGTGGTAACATCATGTTAGTAATGCAGAGGTTCGGCATCGTGTGTTTGGGAACAGCGACGACAATTCAATTGATATCACCAACTTGCAACGAACTTCGGTGGATTGGACATCATCCCAGAGAATTCCACAGTGCATTATTTGCTGATGTTGGGACCGGTTACAAAACGTTGAGAGGTGGTCAGTGCACATGGTTTCGTGGTACGAAAGAAATCTGTACGGGGTTGGCTTCTGTTGGCTCTTCACAGTCCCTCGGTAGGGGTCCTAGAGATGACGCAACACAGTGGCTAGGCACACTACTAGACATGGCTCAGAAGAGAAACAAGTAGCTATCCTGTCGTAACTTTCTTCATAAAAGTGGACGTAACTTTGGTGGAGTTTTGTTCTCTGAGCTGGATTGTTTGGCCGTGGAGTTCTCATCGTTCTTCTGAACGACATCATCAGCACAAACTTCAGATAGAAGTGAAGTGTTCGAATTTCTCCATTTGTGTTTCACAGCTTGTTCTGTGCACCTCGATGTTGATTGGTTCTTATTGACCTTAAATTTATCATTATTTAATTCTTTGTTTTGGTTGTGTCTCCCATTGGTTTGATTTTTGTTCATAAAAATTAGTTATTATTCTATTCAATATAACTGAAAAGACTGACAAAATCCTTAAAATGTTTGACGTTAAATTGCCAGGATCTGTTGCGAATGTTTACCTTGCATCTATTATAGTTTACTTCACCAATATCCGGTACCAATTTTCTAATCAGACTGATGGTGAACAGTAAAATAATATAGAATAACAATAAATGGTTGCTGGGAATGTCATCCAGTTTTTAAAAATACACCAATGTCTACACAAATGTAGTTAAATTCACCTAATTAGGAAGCCCCCGATTGCCCTGGTATGGCCGAGAGCGAGGTGGGTTCGCCCTCCCTCTCGAAATACTCTCACACAGCCACAGTCTCTGCCAGGGAAGTCCTACTCACTGCCTTCTCGTGGCGGGGGCATTGTTTACGAAAAGCGAATGTCTGGCGCTTTAACCGGATCCCAAACCAAATCAATGGTGCACATAGGCTCCAGTATCCTGCGGGAACAAATGGAGTATGAACCAATCGTTGGTCACCGGCTAACATGGGACTGCATCTCCTCACGATGCTCCACTGCCTTGTGGGTTAGACCTTTAGGTCAAAGGCTCGGGGTGTGGCCCCCTAAGGTAACCACCTGCTTCGGTCTGGGCTCCCGGGCAGTATCACAACCAACACACAAATGAACTGTCTATAATTATGGAAACTACTTTTCTTGCTTCGACTAACAATCAAATGATTCAAATTAAATTATTATTATTTACTACGTCATTATTCACCCTCTTTTATTCCTACTCTGTTTATACTTATTTTTTCGTCTATGGTGGAAATTCAACTTCATCTAAACGGTCTCGAGTCACTGTCTAGTTGAAAATTGTGTTACCACTGAATATGAGTACAGAAGCAGTTTTTCTGAAACCACATGCACCATTCACACTGGCTGCCTTCAAAGTTCGCACACTTATGCAGGTCAGACAACAGATAGGACTGACTATGCCTTTGGAAAGTCTTAATATCGACGTCTGTTGTCTATCTGAGACCCGTATTCAAGACTCTGGTGAAGTACTACAAATTCGCTCTCCATCTGTCGCTTCAAAAAGC